AATGCGGCATCCTCATATGTAGTTATGGCCCTGGTGATGTCAACATGGAAGGCCAAAACTCCATCTCACCAAAACAGGCTGAAATTTCAGGCGGACTTTTCAAACAGCTTTTACACTAAAAGGGTATTATCATAATTTTCACAATTTCACAGTATTATTCCAATCTCATAGTGTGGAAATACATATATAACATAGGAAAATCATGTTTTTGACTGCATTGGGCCTTTAATTATTCACTTTGACATTGCTGAATATCAACACACCTTTACATCCCTTTCTTTTCAATGTTTACGTTTCTTGTAAGGAGAAAGCAGTAGGATGAGATAATCAAAGATTACGTGATTTCGGGGCAAGAATATTGACCGTGAAATTAGCACGATGTACCTGAATCTCATATGGATTACAATTTTATGAAGATTAAAGAAAGATTTAGTCAGATTTTATATGGCTGTTTAAACACAGTGATCCTAATAAAGCGAGGCACTGCTCTAACCTCCAAAAAATTGGATTTGACTATTCATCATCCTCTACATTTTTGAGTCTTTTTGTTCCACCAATATGTTCTTACTTTAAAGTCTGCAGACCTTTTTGGTCACTTTCCACATGCTGTATGATAAAGGTCAAAGGGTTTAAGTAATGCTGGTCTGTTTTCTTCACGCCTATCTCGCTACCATCAGTGGTCTCCTCCTGCTCGTATGAGGCTTGTTCCCACAGTGACACATTTATGACAGTTTTCCCAAGAATGTCTGATTCACTCTCCCACATCAGAAATGTCCAGGTCCAGTCTCATGCGTAATGCATCTAAAGAAAATAGTTATATCATGGTATATACAGTAACATCATGATCATTATTGAGATAACCCAGCATGTAAAGATAATTTGATTATTTTCTTATCTTAACATTAATAATAATAATAATAATTGATTACATTTGTAAAGCGCTTTTCATTATACAGAATAATCTCATAAAATATATATTTTTAACCAAATAGAAAAAACATTCCTTGCTTATTGCATTCTACTTTTGCAAATAAAGTACATTATAATGTGTATACGTGTTGTCCTATGATATGTTAGAAGTGTATTTTTGGCCCAGTGTGAATAATCGTGTGAATTTGATGTGTGACTGTACCGGCTCTTGTGTTCCCTCAGGTGCCCCAGTCATCGTAGGAATGAGCATCAACATCGCTAGCATTGACTCCATCTCAGAAGTGAACATGGTGAGTTACAAAACACCTTCTCTTACAGTAGCACTGTCCATATAGTACATCCACTCAATGTGTCCGTTTTTATTTATTAGGGTTCGTGGTTAAAGCATGAAGCACCCATTTTATAAAACACCATTTTGATAATTTAATTAGCTTCATTTAACTATACTGAACAAAAATATAAATGCAACATGCAACAATTTAAAAGATTTTACTGAGTTACAGTTCATATAAGGAAATCAGTCATTTGAAATAAACTCATTAGGCCCTAATCTATGGATTTCATATTGCTGGGAATACAGATATGCATCTGTTGGTCACAGATACCTTAAAAGAAAGGTAGGGGCATGGATCAGAAAACCAGTCAGTATCTGGTGTGACTGTGGCCTGTGGAATGTTGTCCCACTCCTCTTCAATGGCTGTGCGAAGTTGCTGGATATTGGGGGGAACTGGAACACACTGTCGTACAGGTCAATCCAGAGCATCCCAAACATGCTCAATGAGTAACATGTCTGGTGAGTATGCAGGCCATGGAAGAACTGGGACATTTTCAGCTTCCAGGAATTGTGTACAGATCCTTGCAACATGGGGCCGTGCATTACCATTCTGAAACATGAGGTGATGGCGGCGGATGAATGACACGACAATTGGCCTCAGGATCTCATCACGGTATCTCTGTGCATTCAAAGTGCCATCAATAAAATACAATTGTGTTCATTGTCCGTAGCTTATGCCTGCCCATACCATAACCCCACCGCCACCATGGGGCACTCTGTTCACAAGGTTGACATCAGTAAACCGCTCGCCCACACAATGCCATACACGTGGTCTGCGGTTGTGAGGCCTGTTGGACGTACTGCCAAATTCTCTAAAACGACGTTGGAGGTGGCTTAAGGTAGAGAAAGGAACATTCAATTCTCTGGCAACAGCTGTGGTGTTCCTGCAGTCAGCATGCCAGATGCAAGCTCCCTCAAAACTTGTTGTGTGACAAAACTGCACATTTTAGAGTGGCCTTTTATTGTCCCCAGCACAAGGTGCACCTGTGTAATTATCGAGCTGTTTAATCAGCTTCTTGATATGCCACACCTGTCAGGTGGATAGATTATATTGGCAAAGGAGAAATGCTCACTAACAGGGATGTAAACACATTTGTACACACAATTTGAGAGAAATAAGCTTTTTGTGAGTATGGAAAATGTTTGGTATATTTTATTTCAGCTCATGAAACATGGGACCAACACTTTACATGTTGTGTTTATATTTTTGTTCAGTATAGTATTGACTCAGGGGTGTGATTACTTATTTAAACAAGATATTTCTGTACTTCATCTTCACATCAATTTGCAAAAAAATCGAAAAACATGTTTTCACTTCTTGTGTGTAGATGGGTGTTAAAAAATATATATTTTATAAATGTTGAATTCAGGCTTTAACACAACAAAATGTGGAATAAGTCAAGGGGTATGAATACTTTCTGAAGGCACTGTATGACCTCCACATATGGTGTGTTTCAGGTGTTATATTTTTGTTCAGTGTATTTGCCATGCAATACCATTTTAATCAGTCATATTTGCTCTTGCAAACGTTGGATAACCATAGACATGTTGGGCATCTGTTTTGCTTGATTATATTACATATTTAACTTGTTTTTATTAGAGGGCGGTGAGAAATCAGGCTCAGTCTTGTGCATCTTTAAAGAAGACAATATGGCTGGTGTGTCTGCAATGACATCATTCTGTCGCTCTGTTCTCCCTTGTATTTTATTTTATTTAATGTGGCACAGTCACACTCAAGAGTTCACTCTCCCCACAAGCCAGAGGAGCTTTGTTATTTTGTTTTGGATTTGTTCTCCCTGCAATATTGCCATTTGGAATCACTAGAGGATTTGTATCCAGTTTCAAGCAATAGCAGATTTTATTTTTAATTTGTTAGAGGTAGTCACTCATGTATAATGCAGTTTTCTTTATTTTTAAGAGCAAGCACGTGAGGCGCTTTGATATATTCATTTTGAAGTTATTTCAGAGATTTCTTTTGTACTCTGGTGTTTTTGAAGACACAGCAAGTTTTATCTTATGTTTTATGTTATTTTTGTTTCCCTGGACATTTGAGAAGGTAGCATCAGGTGCAAGGCTGAAAAGGTTGAAAAAAGTTCCTGTGAACAAAGACAGACACAAAACAATATGACTAGCTTGGTTTCCATCCATTGGGAGACAGATATCAATTGGAGACATAATATTAAAACATCCACATTAAAACAATATGCGCATTTTCCCACCAGAGATGTGTTTGCGTCAAATTGACTTGTTGCGGATTTTCAACTCTACTGATGGTTTTCTCACAAAAAATGTTGCGTTATATAGCGAGTGTGCCAACCCTGGAATTGGCACGTGCACTCTAGCCAACAGCTCGCAGATACAGTGCGGGTATAGCCTACATGATGAGATTATTATGGACAAAAGAGCGAGATTATTTGTATTTGTCAAACGGCATCCAAGCATCGATGATCATGTCACCAGAATAAGACCCTCAATGTTTATTGGAAAGGAGCATCAAGTTCATCATAACCTATTTTATCTGTAGCCTAATAAACTGCATGCTTTCCCGACAAGTCATAGTGGGAGGACCACATGTCATCGCGTGACTCCAAGTTTACTTCGATATGATGGTTATTATATCAATATTTGCCCATTAAAAGCATTTCCACCGACATTTCTTGCATAATTAATTTTACAGGCTAGCGTATTTAGTTTTGTCGACATTTGGAAAGTTTACCGATAAAGGCCTATCATGCAATTTTTTTCCTGACGTACTTTACTCGCATAAAAAGGTTGGATGGAAACCTGCTTATTGTCAACTTGGAAAACGCTTGATAATCTCAACATGTCTGTTATGTCTAACGCCATAACTCGTCTATTTTAGCTGTTCATTTTTGTATTTTGTCAGCCAGCCAACATAGTCATAGCAAAAGAAAACCACATCATTTCACTTTATTTTTTGCAATCAGACGAAAGCCATGTAGAACAAAATGACTTTGTGTTAGTATATCATTTCATTCAATTTTTTCACGATGCCGCAAATATATATTTTTTGGGAAAATATGGAATATTCTTCTCATAGGGTAAGACTGTGAGAATGTAGGTCATTTTATGTCCAGCTGAATAACCACTAAGATTAGATCTCAGTCCACTTATAAAATGTGATGTATATTATGTTTTAAGATCATTATATTGAGATTTCGGGACACTGAGGTTTTCAGAATAATTGGCAGCATTTATCATGCGAAATGCAGAAATACTGTACTGTCATCGGAGGAAGTATTAAACTTAACTTGGCCTTTAAATCACTTCCTTATAAGTCTCTCATTTTCATTATGTTTCCACTGTATCCCAGAAAATCACTGTTAATGCTTTCTGATATACTCTGCACATAATGATTATGATGATACATTTAGATGTGCATACATTTATGCACATTAGGTAGTATGTGCATGGTGTAGGATAGGGCAAGTACAGTAGGGGTAACTTATACTTCCTATAGTTGAAGCTTTTGTTAATGCATACACTCTTAGAAAAAAAGGTTCCAAAAGTGTTATTTGGCTGTCCCCATAGGAGAACCCTTTGGAGAACCTACATGGAACCCAAAAGGGTTCTACCTGGAAAGGTTCTTCGAAAGGTTCTCCCATGGGGACAGCCAAAGAACCCTTTTAGGTTCTAGATAGCACCTGTGTAGCAACTAGTTATTTTCAATCTCACAGTGCTGTTTCCCCTTTTTCCACAGGATTACACCATCACAATGTATTTCCAGCAAAGTTGGCGAGACAAGCGGTTGGCATACGCTGAGCTGCCCCTCAACCTGACTCTGGATAACCGCGTGGCGGACCAGCTGTGGCTCCCAGACACCTACTTCCTCAACGACAAGAAGTCCTTCCTGCATGGCGTGACAGTGAAGAACCGTATGATTCGACTGCATCCTGATGGCACCGTGTTATATGGGCTCAGGTAAAGCTAACTTTCATTGGAATTCTACTGTAACTAAACTGGTTAAAGCCTGGCCTGTCAGACAGGACTGGAAGAGACCTTGAGAGCAGTGAGGCATGGGAGAAACTAGGTCTGTGTCTAAATAGTATCAGGGCCCTCCCACCTTTTTGCTTTCCTTACTTCCATGAAAAAAAACATGAGTCCAGAGAATCCCTGATGAAAGCACGACTAACTTAAATGATTTTGCTTAATTTCTGATGACAGGATTTTTTATTTATTTTTATTTTATTTCACCTTTATTTAACCAGGTAAGCCAGTTGAGAACAAGTTCTCATTTACAACTGCGACCTGGCCAAGATAAAGCAAAGCAGTGCGATAAAAACAACAACACAGAGTTACATATGGGGTAAAAAAACATAAAGTCAAAAAATACAACAGAAAATATATATACAGTGTGTGCAAATGTAGCAAGTTATGGAGGTAAGGCAATAAATAGGCTATAGTGCAAAATAATTACAATTAGTATTAACACTGGAATGCTAGATGTGCAAGAGATTATTGTGCAAATAGAGATACTGGGGTGCAAAAGAGCAAAATAAATAACAATATAGGGATGAGGTAGTTGGGTGGGCTAATTTCAGATGGGCTGTGTACAGGTGCAGTGATCGGTAAGGTGCTCTGACAACTGATGCTTCAATTCATGATTCAATTGTAAGTAGTTATAGCCTACCTTGACAATTACCTGACATGTACACTGAGTATACCCCCCCCCCCCCACCCTTACCCTCAGAACAGCCTCAATTCGTCAGGGCATGGACTCTACAAGGGATGCTGGCCCATGTTGAATCCAATGCTTCCTACAGTTGTGTCAAGTTGGCTGGATGTCCTTTGGGTGGAGGACCATTCTTGATACATATGGGAAACTGTTGAGCGTGAAAAACCCAGCAGCTTTGCAGTTCTGGTGTGCCTGGCACCTAATACCATACCCCGTTCAAAGGCACTTAAATATTTTGACTTGCCCATTCACCCTCTGAATGACACATATACGCAATCCATGTTTCAACTGTCTCAAGGCTTAAAAATCCTTATTTAACCTGTCTCCTCCCCTTCATCTACACTGATTGAAGTGGATTTAACAAGTGACATCAATAAGGGATCATAGCTTTCACCTGGATTCACCTGGTCCGTTTATGTCATGGAAGAAGGAGGTGTTCCTAATGTTTTGTCCACTCAGTGTACAGTCAGGTCCAAAAGTATTGGCACTCTTGATAAAGAGGAGCAAAAAAGACTGTAAAATAAATAATACAAATACTGAGCCATATTGTATGCTAAAAAAATAAGAGAATTATATTATTTTATACTAATACAATTGCTCAGAGAAAGAGATTTTGTTTAGTAAGTAATACTTTTGTTTCTACAAAAAATAGTACAGGGCAAAATGATTGACACCTCTGTTTAATATACCTTTCAGTACCACACCTTACGAGCATAACGGCACCTTTTTCTAATGTTTTATGAGATTGGAAGACACATTGGGAGGGATCTTAGACAATTCCTCCATACATAATCTTTACAGATCCTTAATATCCTTTGTCCTTTGCCAATGGACTGTCCTGTTCAATTCAAACCACAGGTTTTCAATGGGGTTCAAGTTCGGAGACTGAGATGGCCATTGCAAAATATTGATTTTGTGCTAAATTAACAATTTCTTTGTGGATTTTGATGTGTGCTTGGTGTCATTGTCTTGCTGGAAGATCCACTTGCGGCCAAGTTTGTCTGCATAAGCTTCTTTCTTTCAACGCCTAACCTACCACTGGTGTGCATTGCCAAAGAGCTCTATTTTCAGGTCATCCAACAAATGTAAATGCCTGGAGTTTGCTAAACGCCATTGGCACTTGGATTGGAACTGGTGCATTGGTCAGATGACATAAATAGAGCTGTTTGGCCAGGTACACCAGTGGTGGGTTTGGCGTTGAAAACGGAAGCATATGCAGAAAAGTACCTCATACCTACGGTCAAATATGGTGGTGGATCTTTGATGTTATGGGGCTATTTTGCTTCTACTGGTCATGGGGCTCTTGTTAAGGTCAACGGCATCATGAACTTTACCCAGTACCATGACTTTTTAGCCAAAAAACTGGTTTCCTCTGCCAGGAGGCTGAAACTTGGCCGCAAATGTATCTTCCAATAAGACAATGACCCCAAGCACCTTCACTTGAAAACGCTTGTTATCTAACGCCTGCCTCAGACTACTCGTAGAAGTGTGTTGTTAGATGCTTTTTGCCCTCCCGCGTCCCTTAAACACAGAAGATATCCGCTAAACATAGAATCACATGGTTTATCCGTCTCTCTGTGACTGCCGATAACTTCAAAACAAAGTTTACAACAAATATAAAGTTGCCAATGTGCAATTGATACAAACAGGCAACGTATAAAAAAATGCTTCAAATGAAAACTGAGATGACTGCATTAAAATATGAATACAGTAGGCTAAAGGCCTAGTTCAATCATATTGAAATACATTTCATGTTCAATCAATTGAGTTCTATTTTGCTGCTTGTATTTGTTTCAAAATATTTCATGATGTGTAACTTAACATGTGAGCAATGATGTGCCAAATCTGTGATTTACTTCATTTTTATTGGGTAAGCATTATAATGAGCCGCCTCAGTATTTGCAGCCGTAGGTGGTAATATCTCTCTAGGAGCTGATCTGTCGTCAGTATTGTGAAATAATTATAATGTTAAGGTAAGAGTTGAATGGAGAAAGCTGATGCTCCAACGACACACTTAGCGACCGACTGGTCTCTCTGCGTGGTTTTGGGAAACACATGTTACATCTTCAGCAATTGTTAGAAAGATGCATCGTTAAAACACTCGTAAGCCTAAATTCCATCGCTATCGGGAAACTGGGCCCAGTATAGTACAGTGAGAAGAGCACAGTAGAGTGCAGTACAATACAGTACAGTACAATATAGTACAGTACAATATAGTGAGTAGAGCACAGTAGAGTCCTATACAGTACAGTAAAGAAAAGTAGAGTATAGTACAGTATAGTAGAGTAGTATACAGTATATCTGATTCTGTACTCTACTGTACTGAACTCTACTCTACTCTACTGCACTGTACTGTACTGCACTCTGCTGTGATGTCCATATTGTGAAACATAAAGAGAATGACATTCAAATCCATAAATATGCATTTCTTTGTAGTACAGATCAGGGACGCATGATGTAAACCATTACCGTAATTCCGTTACCGGGTGTAAATCCACTTACTGTAGTTCAATAACTAAAAGATATTTTTTCAAACTCAAGGTGTCATGTCATAGCTGACACACCCATTCTGTCCGCAGACATCTTTGAATCTTAGTTCGAGCAGATATTTAACGTTTTTGGAAAACGTTGTCGCATAAAAACCTGAGGGAGATATTTCCATAATTCCGTTACCAAAGTTTGCATCTGCACAGTTCTTCCACTAAATTAGTTTTTGACAATTTTTCTGTGGAAATTGTTAAAAGGAGTCCTTGTATATACAGTACCAGTAAAGAGTTTGGACACACCTACTCATTCAAGGGTTTTTCTTTATTTTTACTATTTTCTACATTGTACAATAATAGTGAAGACATCAAAACTATGAAATAACACATATGGAATCATGTAGTAACCAAAAAAGTGTTAAACAAATCAAAATATATTTTATATTTGAGATTTTTCAAATAGCCACCCTTTGCCTTGATGACAGCTTTGCACACTCTTGGCATTCTCTCAACCAGATTCACGAGGAATGCTTTTCCAACAGTCTTGAAGGAGTTCCCACATATGCTGAGCACTTGTTGGCTGCTTTTCCTTCACTCTGCGGTCCAACTCATCCCAAACCATCTCAATTGGGTTGAGGTCGGGGGATTGTGGAGGCCAGGTCATCTGATGCAGCACTCCATCACTCTCCTTCTTGGTCAAATAGCCCTTACACAGCCTGGAGGTGTGTTTTGGGTCATTGTCCTGTTGAAAAACAAATGATAGTCCCACTAAGCGCAAACCAGATGGGATGGCATATCGCTGCAGAATGCTGTGGTAGCCATGCTGGTTAAGTGTGCCTTGAATTCTAAATAAATCACAGACAGTGTCACCAGCAAAGCACCCCCACACCATCACACCTCCTCCTCCATGCTTCACGGTGGGAACTACACATGCAGAGATCATCCGTTCACCTACTCTGCGTCTCACAAAGACACGGCGGTTGGAACCAAAAATCTCAAACCATTGAATGAGTAGGTGTGTCCACACTTTTGACTGGTACTGTATGTACAAGGACTACTTTTAACAATTTCCACAGAAAAATTGTCAAAAACTAATTTAGTGACTGTTTCCACGGGGGACCAGTATGAAAAATGTATGTAATGAAAATAATGTATGCACTAACTGTAAGTCGCTCTGGATAAGAGCGTCTGCTAAATGACTCAAATGTAATGTAAAATGTACATATGGTACACACGTATGTGCTTTTCAATCAATTCATTTGAATTAACTTTATTTGTTTAGCATCATGTGTCTCTGGTGAATGGAGGCCTCAGAGGACAAGACAGAGAATCACTGCTCTTTGGGTTATATAATGCTGATGTGCTTTGGCCAATGATGTTTGTTTCTTTGTTCCACAGGGCAATCCCATTTTTTTATGTTTCAAAGCATCTCCACAATTAGTGGAGATGGCATTTTGCTCTTGTCATGTCCCTATTGTCTGGAAGATTAAATATAGCTTAGGTTATAGCTAGGTAAGCCTCTGGAAAAGGATTGTGTTATTTTCAAGAATGGGGGACTTTGCGCATGCCCTTGCTCATTGACATGAGATATCATGATAGCATTATCAGTGTCTGCAAGAGAATGGCATTCTTTTCCATTCTTTGGTGGTTTTTCAGCCAGTCAGCATACACTTTATTAACACTGCCTCACTGAATCACTCTGAGATTGTTCATATCAACTAGGCCCTCATCCCCAGTCCACCCCACCAAACACAGGGACATCTTGGTGTCTGTCTCAGAGGGGTAGATGTTTTAGGATCTGTCAGACAGACTGTGGTATTAATGAGAGTTTGACGATGTTTGGAAGTGAGACGGGGAACTAATGGTCTGGAAAATACTTACTTAATATGTCTCTTGGTGGAATGAGCTGTGGGTGCAGGGGAAGGAGCGAAGGAGGGGTGGAATGGGTAGCAGCATCTCTTGCTACCCAGAGGGAGTTGGTGAAAAGGTGGAAGGATGAAGTGAGGACAAAGTCATGCCTGTGTAGAGTACAGATTGCCTGTAGTATATATTCATGATTGTAACAAATATGCCTCTGTGACTTATCTTAAAGACCATGACCCCTTTACCATTCACGGGAAGACATATTTATTTTGTATTCCTGCTCATTTGATTGACATGTGAGCTTCTCTTACATGAGAAAAAACCTACAGTATAAGCCTGGATTGTTTTCAGCAGGCATGACACGGGACACAACATTGTTTTGATTGTGCAACAGAATGAATGCAGCAGTCACCATTGTATGTAGCAGTCACTATTGTATGTAGCGGTCACCATTGTATGTAGCAGTCACTATTGTATGTAGCAGTCACTATTGTATGTAGCAGTCACTATTGTATAAAGCAGTCACCATTGTATGTAGCAGTCACCATTGTATGTAGCAGTCACTATTGTATGTAGCAGTCACTACTGTATGTAGCAGTCACTATTGTATGTAGCAGTCACCATTGTATGTAGATGTCACTATTGTATGTAGCAGTCACTATTGTATGTAGCAGTCACTATTGTATGTATCAGTCACCATTTTATGTAGCAGTCGCTATTGTATGTAGCAGTCACCATTGTATGTAGAAGTCACCATTGTATGTGGCAGTCACTATTGTATGTAGCGGTCACCATTGTATGTAGCAGTCACTGCTGTGTATGTAGCCGTCACTATTGTATGTAGCAGTCACTATTGTATGTAGCAGTCACTATTGTATGTAGCAGTCACTATTGAATGTAGCGGTCACCATTGTATGCAGCAGTCAGTGTTGTATGTAGCGGTCACTATTGTATGTAGCAGTCACTATTGTATGTAGCAATCACTATTGTATGTAACAGTCACTGCTGTGTATGTAGCAGTCACTATTGTATGTAGCAGTCACCATAGTACTGCACAAGACAGACAAATATAGTGCACCATTTATTTCTGTTTATTTGTTTTACTGGAAGGGGGGTGAGAAGGAGGAGGAGGCGTACTTCCCATCCACAATTCTGTGCCCCAGAAAAAAGCCACAAAACACCCTCCTAATCCCTCATCACCACAATGTCCCAGTTTCATCAATGAACCAGCCCAGACAGTGAGTCTGCAGTGAGGTGCCCACAGGGACCCACCCAGAGGACTGCGGGCTGCTGGGGGAGAGGAGCATCCTGGGGCCCTTTCAAAGCAACACAGCCTCCAGAACCCCAGGGGACACAGGCTTTGTTTCTTTCTCCAACATTTTGCAGCTTTGCTTTACATTAGTCATGTACAGTAAAGTTTTGAGATAGAAAACAATGTGCAATGCAGAGTGAAATGCCCTTGGTCTATGATAAAGCCGGAGGGGAGTAATAATGAGGTTGTGTTGGGCAATCGGGAGAGTTCGAGTACTTTTGCTACAGCATTATGTCCTAACGCACCAAAGTAGAAGGAGTCAAAAAGTATATCATCCCAAACGGTGACTCACTGTATGGAAATGGGTTCTGTTTTCATCATGGTTGTGTAGCCCCTGCTAACACTCCACATTGTTTTTCTATTGCACTCTATACACTTCACCAATACCTGTGCATGTGTTTGACAGTAGATGTGGTGGCTTGTATTAGCCTGCACACTGCGAACCTCTTGCAATGTGCTGAATTGTCCAGCAACCTGGAAGACAGCATGGACTCAGGCATCCTAAATAATGCATCCCAAATGTAAAATAGGCTGTTGTAAAGGGTAAACTTCCCCACCACTCTGTCCTGCCCCCTAACACACACACATTGTTTATCTTTCAAACTCTCCCCATGAATGTGGCGGTACATCTGACACACAGGGGTGATGAGTTGAAACTCAATTCGTTTTCCCATTCAGGCAAACCAGTGAGCTCCCTAGTTCATTTACACAAGAAACCTGAAAGTAGGCGAAAGCTAGTATGATTTAACAGCACAAATGTAATTACTAAAATGTGCTGCACTAGTTAATATCTCAGTTCAATGCCATAGACTCCCACACAAATAATCTGTAAGCAGTGCACTTTTCCTGGGTTTCTGGATTTATTGAAATGGAATATAATGAATTTGCACCCCTCATAAACACACCTGGCAGAAACATGTATAAACATAGCAGTCAATCACAATTGAGTGTGAGATTAAAGCATATACTCAATGCACAGGTCCTAACATTTTACTAAATTTTCAACTGATTCAATGTATCCCAAGGGAATAAAACAAGCTTGGTAAATTGACTTTCTGCATTTGATTGATGGCTTTTGGGCTTGAATGAATTAGATGTTTACATTAAGCATTAAAGATTTACCTATGGTTTTGTTTGAAGTTTTAATGTTTCTATAGGTAGAACTGTAAATAGGAAGCGAACAGCTCCAGATGTGTGTGAGGTTGCAGTCACAACATAGATCAGGGCTGTCATGAGGCCTATATATGAGCACTAAAATGCTGCTCACTAAGACACATTCATTTTTTATTCCAACCTCTCTCCGTTTGGAATCCTCTTGCCTCAGTCAGAACACATTCCCAACAACCTCACTTTCTGCTATTTCATTCATTTAAAATTCATAAAGAGCTGACCACAGCTATTATGGAAGATCACAAACAGTGGACCAGATTATGAGAAACGGATCTAAATGTATCTTCCTCTTCTTCCCCCATCCCTTCTCATCCCTCACTCCTAAAAATCCGACCTCAGACAGGTTGTATGCAACACTAGCCTCCAATGATTGCATTTCCTTTTTTCCTTTTTTACAACACGAGACAACTGCCTAACATTACTCAATTAAAGATTCACATTGTGCAGTGAAGGCTAAGCTACGATTTCTTATAGGTTACCAAGGTAACAGCGGTTCTCTCTACCCTCCCTTTTCTCTCACCCTGTATGTCTCTGCTCTCAATTTCTTCCAGAATAACCACCACAGCAGCTTGCATGATGGACTTGAGGAGGTACCCCCTCGACGAACAGAACTGCACCCTGGAAATCGAAAGCTGTAGGTGGACTTATTATAAACGTCTTCTCCCCCATTCCTCTCCACTCTAGCTAAGTAACCTCCCATCCCTCCCCCAACTGCCTGCCTGGGCTTCTTCTCAAGCATCTCAGCAGAAATGTCATCCTGCCATTTTCACTGGATATCCCAGCGTTTTAAAAACACAGCAAGGGACTTCCCATGATTGCAGGCAGGTTTTTATAATTGTATTTTTTTTATAATTCAGCTCATGTCTCTCTATACATTTAAGGCAAAAGTCAACTTTTAGACCTGTCATACTGTATGTCTCTAGAAGAAAAATACAAAAGGAACCTTTTGCATTTGAAGTTGTTTCTGTCAATATTCACATTTAACCATTTGCATTATCCTTACTGAAAGATGAAGCCCAAGTCCTTCGGCCAAAATTCTCCATACAGTCTTACTTCACCCTCTAGCTTTGACTCCCGGGTGGTTCTGATGTATCTTGGACTCCCAGGTGGTTCTGATATATATTTGACTCCCGGGTCGTTCTGATGTATCTTGGACTCCCGGGTGGTTCTGATATATCTTTGACTCTGGGGCAGTTCTGATATATCTTTGACACAGGGGTGGTTCTGATGTATCTTTGGGTGGTTCTGATGTATCTTTGACTCTGGGGTGGTTCTGATGTATCTTTGACTCTGGGGTGGTTCTGATGTGTCTTTGACTCTGGGGTGGTTTAGGTCTGGGCTGGGCTGGGCTGATGTATCTTTGACTGAGGTGGTTCTGGGTGCAGTCTGCAGAGGCCTGCTGTCAGCAGAAGTGATCATTATGGATAATTTAAAGCAGCTATCCTGGCCAACGTTATTGGCATCTCTGACTCTGAGTGCCATTTCTTATAGATGCGTTAACTCAAAGGGCAATGAATGCATTGACAGAAGCAGGTTAAATTTTAAATGCTTGCTTGTATTTCAATTAGAAGCCGTTACATATTGACCACTGAATGAAACTTGAGCGGGCAGTTGGGCCCTGTCTGTCATAACAACATCAATGCTCCTTTCATGGCAAAGCAGCATAGAGGCATGGTGTTGGATGGATATCTTTCATCAACCCAAAAACATGATTCACTTGATTTTACAGCCACAGCGAAAAAGGTTTGTCACATCCTAACATATGCAAATGTGAAACATGCAATGCATACAGAGAAGTCACAGCTACAGTATTCCTCTCCAAACCAATGATGTCATGTCATTGATTTTCCCACTAGTGACAGCCAAGCAACATAACATGTCCATGGCTTGGCCCTACCTAAGTAGACATAAAGTGTAATTATGGATAGACCTACCACATCCATAACCCCACACCCTCAATAACATATTTTTCCACTACATGTCGATAAGGGAGGAAATCTGGACATGCTGTGAAATTAAAGTATTCTATATCCTGCTACATGTTGGGGGAGGCAGAATGCCATGGGGGATAGTATTCATTAACAACCGTTCAATATCATAGATTAATAAGGAGCATCCACTTATGAAAACATGCCAAATTCATTGGACAAAGTCATAGTTCCTAGACCTCTCACTTTAGAAAAATATTAAAAGTGGATGAATGATGCTCCGGTGCTGGCTGGTGTATAACCATGGACAGAGAGTTGGCACAGCCAGGGGGCAGAAGAGGGGTAATTAAATGTAAAATACAGGAAAGGCACCTATATCCAGGAAATGTAATTGCTATGAGGTTTAACGGTGAATGTGTAAGGCAGCATATTGCCTGAACTGCACTACATAAATCTACCTCAGACTTCTCGCTTTGATTCCACTGGCATTTTGATGGAGCACCGTAGAGTCAACATGAATCATAAACAGAAGCATGACTTGACACGTGATAAATATTCATGTTTGTCTGACATAACTTAGCCATGTCATTATGCATGCTCTTATACAGTTCAGTTTAGCTAAGTGGAAGACATACATAAACTTAGACAATATTCTATACAGTACCAATGGAATGAAGGCCTATTTTCCTCTGCTTAGGTCTATTTGGCTTTCCCTAATGTCTAAGGAGAGAGGTTCTACCAGTACTGAACCTGTTCAATCTCCTCTCATCCCCTTCACCCATTCTCTGTAACCTGAGACAGATGGGTATACCACAGACGACATTGTGTTCTACTGGCATGGAGGGGACAATGCTGTGACGGGGGTGGACAAGCTGGAGCTTCCCCAGTTCTCCATCGTGGCGCTTCGCCTGGTGTCCAGGGAGGTCAGGTTTACGACAGGTAAGGCCTCCACTACAACACCTCATAGCTGTGCTCAAAGGGTATAGTATGCCATTAGAATACATTATCAGAAAGACATTTGAATGGTCCTATATGTACATGTTATCTTTCAACTTAACAATGATAGAATGTAGGCTTGCTTGTAGGATGAGTTAAATTGTCAGTCCAGTTCCAGTCACTGTTTTGTGTTATAAATGTTATTCCAATAGCACTTCTAACTAGCTGCTTAACAATTCTGAGAAGATGGCCTGCTGAAGATTTAGAGTAATCTCTATGTGACAGTTAACTTGAGTTAATTTAGAAAATGTTGCCATGATTTAAGTAGTCTTGCCCTTGTGTATGCACTCGTTTATTTAGATTCATGAGGTATAGCAGGAAGGACCTGGAGGGATAAAATATGTATGCCTGGATATTGATTAATTAAAAGATTTACCGGACCAGGGAGATGATAGGGTCATTTCTCACTCTGTGCATCTCACAGTCGATTACTATTTAAATTAAAACCATCATGGCTCTCTTATCACCTTTCTCTTGTTTTGATAAAGTGGCCATACAAACTCCCTTGATGGAATTAGCTATGCATCCATAGTGGTAAGCATTCCTCTCTAGCTGAAGTAGGGGAAAGTCAAAGCCACAGGGGAATATCCTGAGATGTATTTCTCTTTAACAACTTGTTGTTGAGCTTGTTTGAATAATCAATACATTCAATGCAACCAATTAATATCTCATCACAATGAGCTGGCATTTTTCTCTGCAACATGCATAAATGTTAAGCGCCATAGGTTCACCCCACTAGCTTCATCACAGTCTCATGTGGGTTCCTCCTTCTCACTTAAGTAGTGAGAAGACGTGCTCTCCAATTACGGACCTTTTTAAATCCCCTTTTGGTGCTATTTAGAGGACAGAGAAAGTGCTAAACAGAGAAAAGCACAGCAGCTTTCCGTGACAATTCTCACAGGGATGCTGGAGCTGCCTGCTAAGATGGGGGTGTTGAGGAAAAATCTGCCGTGTTTGCGACTTTCTGCCATGTTTAATTGGAATCGAACTTGTCCCTGGAAAGGAATCCATTGCTTTGGGGAAATTAAGTGCTCCGTCTGAACAAATGGAGAAATGACTACCCTGCGCATTGTCAAAGTGCAGACTTTGGAACTCATATGTTGCGCCAGCGTTTCTTTTCTTCACTGATGTGTTTCCTTTGCCCCGCTCCATCACTCCATCCACTCTCCTTCTCTCTTGTTCTCTGTGAAAGGTTCCTATCCCAGGCTATCACTGAGTTTCAGGATTAAGAGGAACATCGGCTACTTCATCCTGCAGACATACATGCCCTCCATCCTGATCACCATCCTCTCCTGGGTCTCCTTCTGGATCAATTATGATGCCTCTGCAGCTCGGGTGGCCCTTGGTAAGACTCCGCTTCCACTGCAGTGTTACAACACAGAGTATTCCCAGTGAACACAGTGAGTAAGGTTGTCTTGTAGGTTGCTCTAACATTGAGGTAACTTATGTTGCTGCTGCAGTACAAAATGCTACACACAGCACAATTGGGAATGGTCATAAACAGATTAGTGGCCAACTCCCACTTACACAAAGGAGCCCTCACAACCACTAATAATGTGCACTTTCCATTGAACAAATCTCTACCCAGCAGGAACAACTTGTCAAACAACATTTAGAGGCACACACTTCCCACTCAAAATCATTACCTTGCATGTTGGTCTTCCTGATGACCAATACCTTACTTTGATGGTGATGACTATTGATTTTTTTTTTTACTAATAATAATGTATTTATTCCAGGTGTTACAACGGTGCTCACCATGACAACCATTAACACCCACCTTAGGGAGACACTCCCAAAGATCCCGTATGTGAAAGCCATCGATGTCTACCTCATGGGCTGTTTTGTGTTTGTGTTCCTGGCCCTGCTTGAATATGCCTTCGTAAACTACGTGTTCTTTGGCCGGGGCCCCCAGCAACAGAAGAAAATCCACGAGCGGCTGAACAAAACCAACAACGAGCGCCCGCGATACGAAGAGAAGCGCCTGAGGGAACAGGTTTGCATCTTCAGCTGCCTTCTCTCTCTGGCGATTTTACGCACTCCCTCGTATGTCAATGAAAGAATCCTAGCGTAAAACAATCATTGTTTTATTATAGAGAATCACAAAGACTCCAAAACACGTATTCCCCTATGTTAGTTTGTCATTAGACAGTACTTTCACAAGCATATAGATGCCACCTCCACCATACACATCCAACAACCATCCTCCATTGCTTTTCCTCCAGCACTGACTCTTTGATTTGAATGAGCATAGTATTTTATACTGTGGCTATTTATTTAACTCTGGAGATGTGTAAAACTACATTCTCATTCTCCACTCAGGTTGTTGTCTATGTTTTTACTGTGAGCTTGATTCAGTCTTATCTCTGTGGTGTCCTGTGAGTTGCATTTTTGGCAACATTCACCCACTTCCGTCTAAAATTTAACAAATCTTAATGGGTATGCAGCCAGAAACATTAGTATTCAAAGGAAAATGCTAAAACGGTCCGACTGAATTAAGCCCCTTGTCTCTGTGTCTGAAATATGACATGCAATGCTTATGCAAAGTTGTTCTTGTTAACCTTATGTTTATGCATTCTGTATTTTTAAGAAATTGTGCTTAATTGTCAGTGTTTTATAGGCGTTTAATGTTCTCTTCATTTTTCTTTTTCCATTGCAAGGACTCCATTGCCACGCCGTTTCAAACCAACACCCTCAGGTCATATACACAGAGAAGAAATCTGTACCTCGAGGAGCAAAGAAAAGTTGGGGTACATGCATTTAGAAATCATGTGAGCTGTGGGACTGCAGCCTAATAGAGGTCTGATAAAACGGTTGATAGAGTGATGGCAATTAATTTGTGTCAATTTACTTTCAGTGAAAAAGCACCGTAAGGCACTAGCTATGAGGGAGAAAATGGGAAAAGTGCATAAATTCAGAATTCTTTAAAGAGGCATGAAAAGATTAAATGGCCTTCCACATCATCATTACATTTGCTTTAGCTTGAAAATTGGAAATGGAAATGAAACGCTGGGTGGGTGTAGAGTATTAGTAGGACAGTTTGGGGTAATGTCACTGTGTTCTGCTTCTCCCTGACGTTCTCTCTCTCCCCACCTCTATCCTCCAAGGTGGACGCGTACGGGAACATCCTGCTCACCACGCTGGAGATGAATAACGAGGTGATGCCGTCAGATGTGGGAAGTAGCGTCAGTGACTCCCGGAATTCGGTAATGTCATTCGACAGCTCCGGGGTCCAGTTCAGGAAGCCCATGGCTCCCCGGGACGGCTTCAGCCACCACTCACTGGACCGCAGCGCTATGCGCAGCAGGGCCAACTGTCGGCTACGACGGCGCTCCTCCAAGCTCAAGCTGAAAATCCCCAACCTGGCAGATGTCAGCACCATTGACAAATGGTCCCGGGTCCTTTTCCCCATCATGTTTGGATTTTTCAACCTAATCTACTGGTTGTACTATGTGAATTGATGTGCATCCCACTAGGAATCATGGGCCATATTTTGAGAGCACATTACATTGGCTTTGATACAGTTGGAAAATATGTATACACATATACAAGTTGATACATACAGTATGTATATGCATATTTCTATATATTATATTTATATATACACGTGTGTGTGTGTAAATCTGAAGGACTTTTCTCCTGTATATAGTATTATTAGAATGACTTGAATGTTTAAGAATAATTTCAAGCCTTTGAGTTTCCTTTTCCTTGTGAAACAAACTAACTAACTAACAACCATCAGATCCCTTTGGGGGATTTTGGAACTAAAGACTGCATGATATTTTTGCTAAAAAAGAAAGCGAAAGCTCTTGAGAGAAGAGATGTCTCAGAGTCTCATTGGCTTTTTATTGATACTCTGTAATCGGCGTCCTCTACTGCAGCTCATCAAATCAGGTGCCTCGTGTGTTCAGGCATCGGCTGAGGCAAGTCCCTAATATCCAGCTTTTTTCCCCCATCTCCCATGGATAACATACACGGAATTCTCCGGTTCTACTCTGTATAGCAAACTTATTTGGATTATGTGTCGTTCCTTGGCTTTTTTCGAGTGACATTGTTCTCTTTATGGGACATCAGCTCTGGTACAATGCTAGTCTGCATTTGGGGGCCATCAGGATGGGATGTTAGACCACTGCGTTCCTGCTCAGAGTCAGTGCAAACTTCTCTTCATTTCTCTACTCATATTTGTTTTTAGTGCAGTTCCTTGGGGTATTTTCATTATGGTTATAAAGATGATGATTATTGTAATTATTATTTTGCCTTGAAAATACTGTGCTTTTGGGAGAGTGTCACTTAAAGATGTTCTAGTTAGTGCATTATTAGAAAAAGAGTCATAGGTATGAATTACTCATTTTGATTGTTTGAAAAATAGACATATACTGTACATTTTGTCATTCAGTATCCTCATGGACATAGTTGGCTAATATAATTTCTTTAACTTCCTCCTAGTGCTTCACATGCTCTGTAGATACAGTACTCATTGCCTCAAATCCAGCTTCGTGTTCTGTAAGGAAGAAACGATACCTACAGTGAACGATTTGATGTTATTCCACTATAAAAATGTGAGAAAAAATATTGTGTATTAAAAAAGGGATATCGCCATTGTTTATTTGTTTGATAGTGAAATCAACATATTAGCCCATAGTTTGACCTGTAGTTGAATGTAATACTCTCTCACTGTAAAACAGTTTTCACCCTGAGAATGTGGGGTACTGATATTATAGTTCCTATGAAACGTGCCTGTCTTAAATTCTAATGGGTGTGTACTCAAATGTACTATTTAGTAACGGTTGTAGTGGGGGGCGGGATAAGAAGAAGAAAAAAACTCAACCTCTCACACCCATTAGCTCTGAAAACACTGCAGACCTACCCTCCCTTCAAATGGTATGTCTCTGAGGATCAAATCCCAAAGATCAGAAACATCAGCAGAATTGGAAAAAAATGGGTTTTAAGTTTCTAGGGGCAAGATAAGATGCGTGATAAATATAGCCATGAACTGAAGTGACAACTAAAAAGGCCTAGAATCCCAATCTTATTTTTGGGTTTTGCTCTTAAAGTCACTGCATTCCATCTGCTCAGATCCACTCACTAATCACTCAGAGTTGATGCCATGTTGATCCACACTGTACCTTTAACGGAGGACCTTGTTTCTCGTTATTTGGTTCTGCCTAGAGTGAAGAGAAGAGCAAATGCATTCATACATTTAAACTGCCATTTATCTCTGTGTTCAAACTAGTATTGCATTGATTCAACAATGCAATGAATTGCAGTGGATTCGAATATTCATGCTAAGGAATGGTTGTGATTGAAACATCCAGAGCATTGTTGAATCTACTGGGTTTGCATGGTTATCAAATGGCATGGGATGACAGAGGGAGGCAAAATCGCAGGTCAGGAACAGAGGTAGCCAAAAAAAGAGATGGGGTCCTTTGGACATTCCAGAGGATAAGAGAGGAGAGAATGTTGAGAGCATCACAGTTACTGACCAATCTCCTCAGAGCTCACTGATGGGCTCCCCTAAGTTCTAAGAGCTTCTCTCGCCAACGGCCAGCACACGACAGGAAGGAAACTGACCTCTAACTGGGAACCCCGGGCCCCAGGGAGGACTAGCACAGGACAGGATGCACCACAGGGCAGAGAGAGGAGAGACAGAAAGAGAGAGACAGACAGAGAGCATAGTAGAGATCTTGGAGACTGATGCTTTTCACCCCAGTAAGTTGGATCCCACTCCAATGTTCTACCTGTAGTTGACTGTAAATGGAACTGTATCTGGGATACTGTAGCCACCAGTTACAATGTTACACCACCAATGTATTTATTTATTTTACTAGGCAAGTCAGTTAAGAACAAATTCTTATTTACAATAGACTACACCGGCCAAACCCAGACAATGCTGGGCCAATTGTGCGCCGCCCTATGGGACTCCAATGATGGCCGGTTGTGATACAGCCTGGAATCGAACCAGGGGGTCTGTTGTGATGCCTCAAGCACTGAGATGCAGTGCCTTAGACCACGGCGCCACTCGGGAGCCCAATGACGCCTAGTCTCTGCAACACATTTGAGAGAAATTAACCAGAGTTTGCACTAAATCCAACCTGCAATGCCAGGTTATACTACAGCAGAAAATGAAGCGGTACAGCATAGCTATTGAGACTAAAGGTTGAAAAGGGGAGTTTCTGTTTAGTCTAAAACAGAATCAGTGGATGATACTAATCTGTAGGGGGAAGAAGTACTGTATGACATCACTTGATGTTACTCAGGAACCTGGTATCAGATTTTAAGGACCTTCCACTTCTACTCCCTATTGATCTATGTCAGACTAGCCTACATAATACTTCATAAACATGACATAACTCTTGTTGTAACCATGCATCTCCTTTTGGCAAACGACCCCTGTGGTGTCACATATTAGGCTTTAGGCTTGCTAGTGTCGTCAGGATTTCTATGAATGGTTTTGATATGGATTGTGTCATGGTTAAGATGTCATTATATGGGCTTTAGCCTTCAGAATTCAGAAGTAACCCAGTGACATGTTTTATTTACTGTAAGCTATCACTCACTCCGTCACTGTCCTTAATTTCCCATTGGAGACACCCATGAGCTGATCAAATTGTCAGAGTAGCACTAGATGTCTAACCAGATCTCGGACAGAAAACAACTAGATCTGGTATCATCTTGCAGTTTTTGTTATTGTCCACAGCCTGTAGATAAAATGTTGAGCTCTGTTGATTTTCATCTCTTGGTGATCCAAGGTACACCACACATGTTCCCCACCTATGGTGTGTTAGGGTTGGGCTGGATGGATAGAGCCCACTGGATAGCAAACTTCATGCTAGATAACCTTCCCACTCCCAATTAGCCAGGTATTAGAGATGACGAAATAGCAAATCACCCTGGCTTACATAGCCTCAAGATGGTGGTCACAAAACATTTTGTGAAAATATTCAACTGCAATACAATGAATTAAATTATTTAAAGTGCAAAACAAGTCTTACAAACACATACTACACAAAGCTTTGAGAAACAAGGAGAAAATACATAAAGCCATCCAACTCAACAAATAAGTTAAGGCCAGATGTACTAGCAAAGCATTTGCACTTTGCATTTAAACGGCGTAGTGACTATATCAAGTAAAGGTAAGAGATGGATTACAACCTTTGGCCTTTGTTTGGAAATAATCCATCTGATCTGAATTTCACTATGCACTAAATAGTTTATACGTGTTTTTTTTGTTTTTCACACAATGACAGGTATTTTCATATAACATACAGTGAAACATTATTTCCTTTTAACCAGAAATAACTTATGATTGGTCTGTATGGAAACCCTTGCATGCTTGCAGTAAATATACTCATTACATTGAACTCACACCTACTCTATGTGCAAATGTAAACCACTTTCATATCTCAAAAGCTGTGAGGAAATACCAGCTACATGTTTTTCATGTTATGATTTATTTTGGTTATGCCACATATGTTTTGTTGATACATTCATTTACAAGGAGTAGTGGAGGTAAAACAACTGTTGAACTGACTTCAATGTGAATTTTCTTGCCTCTTGTGTATATGTGTAATTATATGTGAATTGTACTGTAAATATGATATCTTTCACTGACTATTTCTTAATGCATGAACAAAACAGGGCAGTTCGTAATAGCAGCTAGCTTCTCTGCTAATGGCATGGACAGCTTCTATAGCATTGGCATACTTCTGCAAAGAAAACCTAAAAAAAAAATGTTAAGAAGAGAAGATAAAGGTTTTGTTTTGCATGACCTAAGTTTGGAAAGGTTTATTTTCATATTTTTTTATTCCACACTGTTCATCAGTTTCATTCTCACAGCCAAGAAAGGAAGAACCCAGTGTTTACATGCTCTAGATGCACTTGTTTTACAGCCAGCTTGACAAAACACTGTAAAACAAACTGTACATTCAATACAACTGGAGAAAAACAGAAAAATAGAATGTACATTATATGATTCATGTCAACATGAATAATATGTACCTCTCAATCATATTCACTTACTGTTTAGCCGAAGCACATGCAATTTGGAATCGATGCGCCAAGTACATACTGTAGTTTTATCAGGTTAAGCTTTAGCACTAACGTCAATCGCCCTTCAACTACAAAGGATGTAAAGGATGCTCCCCAGTAGCATCTGAACTTAAGCCATGAGATTGCATGCTGAGTGGGTATTCCCAGCCGTTTCTCTTAAATGAGTTGCCTCTGGACTGGGGGGTTCTGGTCTGTTGCTGATTATGATGATACTTGCAGGAGGCTGTGCTGAGTCCCAATTATACATCAGTATAGCGCCCTCTTTCAAACACTTTTACCAGGGAAAACACTACTTGTAAAACAAATAGCTAGGGGAAAAAAATCTGTACAAACGTACAAAAACAATTTGAAAGGCCAACAACCCATATCTATTTTAAAGATTTCAATCAGTATA